TTTTTTTCATGGTAAAAAAAAAAAAAAAAAAAGGCACCCCAACCCTCCCCACCTCCCCCAAAAAACTAATCATCTGTCAGGTTTACAATGATGTGGAAGCTACCAATGAAACAAGTGGATGATAAAAAAAGCATTTTAATTCCCATATAACTGTAGTTCAAACTTATCTTATCTTCAATCAGCAAAAACAATGTCTTAACATTATGTTACTGTTCTACTGATGTAAAGGACAACAGTAAAGCTTGTCTCTTTAAATACATACCATTTTTGATCAGATGGAGCACCATTAAGATTCTGTCCGTCAAAGCATAGTTCAAAGTTATCCACACAACTAGCATAATTTAGTTACCTGATATAAAATAGGAAAAAATATACTCATTTTAAAATTAAACAAAGCTGAAAAATATGGTGACCCTCAATTGCTTTTTATACAGTACTGTCACACTGGCCTAGCTACGTGTCATGATAAATGCTCTGCATATTTACTTGTTGTGACGTAATAGTACATCAGATATATTGTTCCAATGATTGCCTGAATTCATTTGCCTTAGGCTAGACAAAACAGAGGAGTTTAAGATGAAGGTGTAATGCCCTCCCCTCCCTATGAAAGAGGCCTGAAATCATTGGTACAATATTACAAGCCTAGGAAAAAAAATCCACATGGCTACAAAAATTCAAGTTTCAACGCCTCCTAAAAATTTGAAACAAAGAGTGTAGGGAGCATATCATCCTGAAAAGTAGACAACTCAAAGAGCATTATTTTGCTTTGGACTTTGTTTTTCTTTAAAAAAAAAAAAATTCCAGCAAATTAAGTCAACAAGTTAAATGTAATTGGTTTATATTAAACACTAGCAACAACCCATTAAGTACAAAAGAATAAAAAATAGTTTGTGTTCATTTTAATGACAAACGATGGGCACAATAGCCTAGTGTCCAATTCACACCACATAAACTAGCCAAAAACCGGACAAGTAAGAAATTATCAAGCAAGAAGTTTTTTAATATGACACTTTCTCCATTCCTTGTATTTTTATTCTGTGGGACTGAGGTATACACCAGGGAAGTCAAAAAGTTTGAGAGGAGGGGGGCCTTAGAGCAGGGAGGAAACATTATTACATCAGATACCTTTTAGCATGGCTATCTCTTTTGACTAAGTGGCAGAAGAGTTACCCATGCTCTGATCAGTCTATTATTTTCATTATTGGTCATTTCTTCTGCAAGATCATTTTGGAACTGATGAATCAGTAACAACCTTCTTGAAAATTCAAAACTATGAAGAAACAGACACTAAATTAATGCCATTATTAACTTCTCCAGTGCTTATCACCTATACCACCTGCCAGCATAGAGCCAAAAGTTTTAAAACCAAATTTCAATACAGTGTTGGCGTTATCTGTGATGCATATTTAAATGATTGGCTTTCACCTATCAGAGTACGGGAGAGGTAAGGTTTGTATGGCAAAGACATGCTTGTGGAAACAAGAGCCACTAGCCCAAATTAGCTTCACTGGTTCACCGACAAAGTACGAGTGGATTTGGGAAAGCTGTCTTTGTATTTCCATACCAAGTTGCAATTTTCTTCATTCATGTTAACAGATACATGAATGTGTAACATAAGTACAGTTACTACTATGTCTGAATAGGACCCAAGTAGCTATATCCTATAAATAATAAAAAATACATTTTTCTTTTGATAACTGACTGTAGATGTGAGGACTCTGTATAATTCAACCAAATGGTTGTATGCTGTACAGTCCTGTGCAAATATCATAAAAAAATTAATAATCCTTTTTTGCTATAAGGCTTTGACCCTACATTTTTCACAGCAACATAACTACCATCCAGCCTGTACCATATTTTGCAAGCCTTCAGTCCAAAAATTCAAACAGTCAATCCATATAGTGTCCATTTGCGGCACCCTGAAGTCATATGCTCTGTCAGTCATCTAAAGGCATACAAACTTCCCCAGATTCATCCCATCGAGACTGGTCATTCTGTTCTTCTACATCATCACCAAGCTCCTCATCACCTTCTCCCACTTCATTTTCCTCGTATTCTTCATCCCTAGGGAAATCTGTGTCCTGCACCTGGTCTGCTCCCTCTTGCCCTCCAGGTTGAGATTTATCTGCACAGTCTACACAAACTCCATAACGTCGTGATCCATGTCTTATTCCAACGCTGGCTGCTAGCATGAAAATCTTCTTACACACCATACATTTATACTTTTTATCCTTTTTATGCACCTATGGAAGAGAAATAGTAACAGCTGAAAACATGCATATCAGGTTGCATTTGCATACAGTAACTAGAAAACTATAGTAATAATAATAATTATTAATACAAAAATTCATTTTTTGAAGTCTTCCGAAAGATATCCCAACACTGTTCAGAGAAAGAGAAGTACTACTAGAAATCCATTTGGACTACATGAGCTATTGCCCACAACCAAACTACCTGCTTACTGTTCAGCAGGTAGCTGACTAGCTGCCTGTTCCGTAAGCAGGTGAGTGTTCATTTTATGACTACTCACTGTACAGAACAAGACTCTCAAAGGCAATGAGAACCGTATAAGCACTTATGTTGCACACAGGTTCATATCTCATTTAGAAAATTGCCTTTATAATTTTAAGTCTAGAAACATTAAGAACAAGCAGGAGTTAAGTTCTGCATGAATTCAAAGAGCAAGATCCTTCTTCCATGACATCTCCCTCCCAACACAACCAAACCCAACCACATCTTTCCAGGTCCCTTTGGTGAATTTTTTGTCCTGTATGTAGTGAGCTTGTGTGTAAAATTAGAAGGCTGCTGTTGACTAACTTGACTAAACATAAATTTTGATTTTTAATTTGGGGGTATATTACTTGTACAAGTAACTGAATTCAGCAACCATGTGTAATAGTTATAATCTTGGAGAAAATTAAGTTGAAGACTTCTTTCTTCTGTCTGGTGTCCCCGCAACAGACTACAACTATGTGCTTAAATATCTCATTTGAGGTCACATTGAAAAAGTTGCCATTTTAGATAAAACAGAAATTACCACCCAGATGAGGGAAAACACCAAGATACAAACAGTTACTTTAGTCCCACTGTATAATCTGTACAGCTGATACCACGTTTTTTCCTCAGCCTCTAGACTTGTTATAGTAATGTTTCACACAAAGCAGAATGTTTGAGGTGTTTGTTGAAGGGGGGGTGGGGGAAAGGAGTGTTCTGACTCCATCAGGCAGAGCACACTTCAGTTAAAGCACAGGGCTGGGCTGAGCTCACTCTATAGCTATTTTCACCCTGTCTGACTTCATTTCCTTTCCTGCAGGGAAAAAGTCTTCAGCTACAAGACGTGGTCAGATACTGCAAGACAGAAACCTGAAGTCCCACTCTACTCTTCCTGGTAGACCAACTACCACCCACTGTTGCTATCTTCTCTGGTGAGCCACAAAGGAAGAAGAAGAGTAGCTGCTGGGACATGTTACATGGTATCACCACCAATAAGGTGATAATGACCTAACCTCCTCTGCCGAGCCACAGAGCTGCCCTGTACCATCACCCTCTCCATCACTGCAGTCACCTACACACACTACAGAACAAAATGTCCTTCGGACTCTGTAACATCATAGGTACTCCTGTCCCTTCAGGCATCTAAGCCTTCACCAGGTGGTATGGGAGGAGGAAGAAAGGCAGCAGTAACAGTGGAACATAAGATGCTGGTTCTAAAATTTACATAGGAGCTATTAACATATACCTTTCCTACCTGTAGAGCATTTAAAGAACACTTAAAATTACTACAGTGGTCTTATAAATATCTTCTAGAATTATACCCTGATATGACTCAGGTTATTATTTACTTTTAATAATATTACTGGCTAACAGAAAGTCCATTTCATGATAGCACAAGCTAGAAAGGAAAGTTAGTAAGACTTACACCAAAAGCTCTTTTCTGCATCCGCATTAAAACTTGGAAGCTCACAACCACTTTTTCTACTCACTGAGGAATAAAAAGCCAACTGCAAGGAGGCTATGGAGACTTATGGAACACCTTCATGAGGGAGCAAGGTGGTCCATTGATTCTCAAAGGACTGAGGAAAGCTACCAAAATGGAGAAGTAAAGTGCAGTTTACCCCGTTCCATGTACTAACCTATTCTGAGTATCTGCAAAACATGTTGCAAAATGAGTTTAAAATCACAGCTTGGAGAAATGTTATTACCTTCTCACCACCAATATGATCTCGCTTTTATTACTCCCCTAAAACACATCTTGGATTTTATACAGTAAATATTATAATGAAGTCTTAATTTCCTTACAGACTAGATACGAAGTACCTGCAAAATACCCAAGACAGATAATACTTTCTCTGGATCCTCAGATAAACAGTACTCAAGTCAAATCCTGAGTTATGCAACATGCACAGGACAGGGTAAGCTCAACTGCCGATTACGGTATTGGTAGAATACAAGTCAGAAGGACACTTACTTTCTGCATCTCACATATTTTTCATTCTTTCCTAAATCTTAAAGCAGATGCTATACGATAGCTTTGTCTAGTTGTGAAATAAGTATTTCAGAACTACCCCAAGATATTGTGCAATTGCTGATTAACAGGGTGTCCTCACAGAAAATGGTGATGCAACATTACAGAACAAGGAGATGTGCTATTCTATCACAGTAACACTAAGCCAATATTCCGTTTCATTATCTACAGAATACTTACATATACTGCATCTCTTTATCACGTCACTTTCAAAATCATCTTGAAATTATCTCTATCAGAATTCCAGCGACTGCCTTAATTGATACTGCATTTTCCATTAAGAATATAAGAGGTATAGTTATCAAAAAGAGATGTTTATCTTCACCCATTTTAGATTAAGATAAAACAATTTACATTATGGCACATCAGAGAACAGTGTTTCTCCCAACTACCAAAAGATCTGAAAAAACCATGAAAACCCACTCGTACATGTACATACATACACACACACTCTTGAGGTTACCTACCAAGGAATGTCTCTTTACATGCTCTCTTCGAGTAAACAGCTTCCCACAGATGTCACAACTGAAAGATCTCACGCCTGTGTGAATGAGCAAGTGTCTCTTTAGTGTTCTTCTGTATTTGGCTACATAATTACAGTGTGGACACTTCAACTTGTTCATGATTAAAGCAGAGGAATCGCCTACAAGAAAATAAGCCATCAGGAGAACAGATGATAAAACACAAAACCCCCTATTTCAGTATGTTCTGCCTGGTGCACAAAAATAAACAGGTGCCAAAACAATAAAGCACCCACATGACTTTTCATCAGCCAAATCAGGACAATGCCTGCCTGCAGAAACCACAAGTACTGGTAGGTTCTGCATGTATGATCTTGTTAGAAAAATACCTACTTGTAACCAAGGAATTTTTACTACGGAAGTACAGATCAATTCTTTGAAAAGAAGTCTTATTTCATGAATCAGACTAAGTTAGCAGTATTCCATTTTCTAGCGGTCACCTATACCAGAAAACACTTTATTCTGGATTAGAAACCCTCTAGCTCTGTGGAATTTAGGCAGTTACAATCTTCTCTCCCAATATTCTATTTAGAATTATGTGCAGGAACTGCCTGCCAAGATCTGACTCTACAAATAAATAAAAAAAGTACAACTAAGCAAGAATGAATATTGACAAAAGGAGTAGGACAGTACGAGGTAGCATAATTCTGAAATAGCTAAAAAGGGAAGTTTTGGTTCAGATCTTGGCTATTCTATACCCAAAGTCTATTTTGGTCTAACAGTAGGAAAAAAAAAAATAAAGAGCAGAAAAAACTTCTGGAAGTAGCAATATCCCACTTCTTCCTTATGATGGAAGAGAGCTGTTTACATATCCTTGGACCAAGGATAACATAGCTTGCTCAAAGGATACGTGCAAAACAGGTTTACTACAGGTGCCCATTACTGTGTGAAACAGAAAAGCACAGGATGCTGTGACAGCTGTGAAGGTGTCCACACAGGAATACAAGGGTTATTTTGAGAATAGGGTACTGACTCAGCTTACTACAGGTGAGATAATTTATGAACATGATCATAACCATCTAGAAGCATCCAAAAAGCACTGGCTAAGGCTACATGGTTAAGAGTTTCTAATGTTCATGCTGGCAGGAAGAAAGCAAAAATAACTGTGTGTTATGTGCACGGGCCTGCATGCCTATATCTAAGATGCCTCCTCCCAGCTTCAAAATCCATCATAACATGAAAGTTAAATTTTGCTAATATTCAAAAGTTTGCCTTGGCATATCGGAGCACTCATGCAAGCTGCATGTCAACATAATGTCACATAATGGCTTACACAAAGAAAAATAAGTTCAAAAAGGTTTTAAATTGCAGTCTTATACACATCAACAGGGGTATGACAGACAGACATACATCAGGGCTGTAAGATACATGGGAATTTAATGGTTTAAGAACAGGCAGACCTCCTAAGCCCCGAGTTCTAATCCCTTGCCTGCTAGTGAATTTCACCTTCTGATGACCCAATTTCTTCCACTGTAAAACCCAAAATATTTAAAGTAAATCATAAACCACATCCCAGTAATAGCTCAAAGTTACAGAGAAGAGGTAGGCATTACTATTACCCAGTCCTTAAGATCCTCTTTTTATTGAAGACTATGTATTTTAAGGATCTAGCAATAATTATTTTAGATGTGGTGGGTTTTTTTGTATGTTTTCAGACAGAAAAATAATTACAGATAATTGCTTGCTTGAACTACTAAGAAAGGCACATAAGCTGTGAAACGGTAGGTTATATAATACAGGTTTGACTGAAGAAGGCTTTAGCTATGGCTGCATTGAATTCAAAACCTTTATTGCAATGAAGCTTTTATTTTTAATAGTCAGTAGTATGCTCCGAGATCTACTTTTAAAATTATATTTAAATTTGTATCTTCATCATCCATTATCTGTAGTTAGCTTACTACAGGGGGGAAAAAGCTACCATTAAAGACCTCAGGTATCTTCATATTCAGGAACAATACAAGAGCCAATATAAATCATGTTCTGTTTTTACTTTTCCATACATTTGAATTCCTTTTTCTCCCTCTGAGGAAATACTCCTATTTACATTATCCAGAAAGGCAAATGATATGGAAGAAGATTATGTAAACACTTAATCTTATAAATCTCTAAACAAATTAATCAAATATTACCAGCAGTGACACAGAAGATAATGAACCCCTATCAGAGGCAAAAAACAACCTCCTCTCCATCAAATATACTTGCCATTTTCCCAAGCTTCTTTTGGCCAAGATTCTGGCAGCAGTCCATACTTGAAGTCACTTGAAGTACCCGGCAGCAGTCCATACTTGAAGTCACTTGAAGTACCCCGCAGCAGTCCATACTTGAAGTCACTTGAAGTACCCGGCAGCAGTCCATACTTGAAGTCACTTGAAGTACCTATTACAGACACAGTCTCACTTTAGCTTCCCGGGTTCTAATCAGTCATGTTGTTTAGCAAAATATATATCCTTTTTAAACTGTGCCAAAAAAGTTTCAAACCTTAAAATAGTAATTATAATCTTTTTTCACATAATCTTCAGTACTGAAATGAAGAAAATAACTGCATTCCTAATTTCAATGAAATTAGACCTTTGAACTACTCTCCACGGCACCATCTCTTCTCCCCATCCTGAGAAAAATTCAAAGCCTTTTTCATACTACAGGAACTTTTATGGTAAAGATACTTATTCCCTATCATCATGACAGGGCTAAAAAGTTTTCAGCTGGATTCTCCTTACAACTGCTTTGGGCAGTGACTTCATCTGGTCTACCACAGGCAGTCTAGTCGGTACAAAAGTAAACATTTTCTACTGGAGGTGTGACTTTCTTTATTGCCTTAAAATATCTCAGTGGTATAAAAAGTGCTTTAAATACCTTTATTTATACAAAGTATCCTACAGCTATGTCTAAATCCTTTTTTGAATAATCATCTCCATTACTCTGTAACCACATCAATTCAAGAGACCATAATTACTTGGAAGATACCAGCTTAAAAAATTGTGATCAATTCAAGAGACCATAATTACGTGGAATATACCAGCTTAAAAGACTGATTTGCATATTTACATTTGGTCTTTAGATAAGCTCCTCATGCAGTTTGTGTTGTCTTTGTAGCTTTTCCCCCCCTCTTTAAAAGAACAAAATCATTCAGAAGTGAACAGTGCCTTAAAAAGATCCTTGCTTGTTTAATTCTATACTTTAGTAACAAGTTAGAATTGCACGAGTGAATATGGAATCACTATTACACAGCACAGATAACTATAAATAGTATACAAGAAAGCTGCACTAGGCATTTGACAAAATCATATTTGTGGGGCAAAGACTCTTCTGGCAAGAGCACAAATCAGTCTTCTCCCCAATCCCCAAGACAGGAGTTTGTTGGAAAACATGAACTCAAATTCATTACTTTCCTCACAGGCACACAGCTGTTAAATAAACAAACTGCAGTGGAAACTGGCAGATTTCCTTTTATTTGTCTGGATGGTGCTCAGGTCCTCACACTGGATTCCCAATTTCACTGTTGTGAAAAGTCTTGAGAAGGGATTCATAGCAAATATAGATACATTTTTATGTAAGCAGAGCTTGAAAGGACAAAGGAAGAGAAATCCCAGTATTTTAGCTCATCCACCCAGCTATTTTGGTATAAAGAAGGGGGAAGAGAAGGGAAAAAGTCTCCCTCTCCTTTAAGAAACAAAGTAGCGAGGAAAATATTTTTTTTATTTTTTTTAATTACTGACTCTTAATAGCTGTTATGTCCAAAAGAGGCAAGAACTCCTTACACTAATTTGGAGCTATGGACTCCAGCAATGGCCTCTCACAACAGCTCAAGGAATAGAACACGGATACCCTATAGACATGCCAACTACACATTCCTTTGAAGTGAGCAGTAAAACTTCCTTCTGTAATACACAAGAAAGGATTAGTGAGGAAGCAGTGTTGTACAGTTCTGGGCATGAGCAAAGATGACTTGATCTCAAGGCTAAAAGCCTCCAAATTAAAGCAGGCTTCAGGATCTAGCAGAGAAAAAAATAAAACAACTTTTATAATCTGTTCAAAATATTAGGCTTTTTTTTATAGGATTTTCCACTCTGACAGAATTGTCCTGTCTCTAGTTGACCAGTGTAAGATCAGTGATCAAAATATTTTAATCACCTTTTTCTCCCCCTTATGAGAGGAATATGTGTAAGATCAACAGACCAAGCCTTTACTGCTCGCAGATGTAACATGTATGCTGTGTATAGGCAATATTGAATAGCTTCCCTCAAAATAAGCATACATCAAAGACTGACCATAAGTAAGAGTTGTACCAAGCTAAGCACATTTATAACACTGTCACTTTGACAGTTCTTCTGGATCTAAGAGAACACAAATTGAATTTCGTTAGGAACATTTATGCTTACAGCTGGTATTGAAGTTTGAGGGAAGTCAGGAGCTCAAATCCCTGCATAGGTCTAGATCTTAGCATAAGACTCGGCATAAAGCCAAACAGACTTAAGAGCTGTAGTCTAGTGTAGGTAATAGCTATTAAATCTTTCTACCTCTAATTTGAAGACCTGCTATAACATGAAAGAACACTGGCACAGATACCACAAGAGATAAGAGGTTGCTACAGACACTTCAGTCTCTGCACAGTACAGGACTAAGTAGATCATAATTAAACCTAATGCTTATTCTTAGAATAATTCATTGACCTAGAAAGCCTGCTTTCTAGATTAAGCACACATATAATGTATTCAAAACAAAACAACAAAAAAGGCATTTTTAATGTCTAATGGCTCATCCATACAGGAAAGACATGAATTACATACAGACTGGGAACTGAAGTGCAATACCTAGCCTCTACTAGTTTCCCCAGGAGGATATATAGCCTACAGTCAGATAAGCTTCTGACTGTAGCTGAGCCAAATATAAGATGTTACAGACCCCTGTGGCTCATAACATCTCCCATTCCTCCTCCCACCCAGGCTACTGCCCCCTGAAACCTGCTTGCAAAACCACAGATATAGTCATCATCTAAGCTGTTCCTGTCAACTTGAACCCACATGATTTTGATAGGAGACTGAAAGCAACTACCTATGCAGTTGTACTGGTAGATTGGGGGTGGGGTGCAAAGCGGGAAATACAGACAGCAGTGAGAAAGAACTTTAAAAAAAAAAAAATGTTAACTAGAAGCAATAGTGTTCTGTAACCCCAGACCAGGTCGTCTGACCACAACTTTCCTCTGATCTAAGGATACCTTTTTACAGTTTAGTTGATTCCTAAAAGAGGTGTAAGTTAGTAATTCAAATGTCCATTAGCCTCCAACATCTACCCATTCTTCTACCCTGCATGGAGAAGAGGTTTCTATGAGTAACCTGATCTTTAAAAAACACCAAACCCAAAATAATAAAAATAAAACACGATACAAATAAGCTGATTAACTATCAGCACTAAAATTCTCAAGACGTCAATTTGAGAAGAGATAAAGACAGTCCGAAATACAATGAAGTGATTGTGTAGGCTTTTACACAACTAACAAAAACTTTATTGAAGGATTTTATGTTCTACTGTGTTTGTTCTCAGGAAAAAGGATAACCAGAAGTCAGACACACTGATTTTCAGTTAAGAAGGCAAGAGCTAGGGGAGTATCACCAGCAAGAGAGAACGCATCTGAGCAGAAACATCCTTAGTTTGATAAGTTTTACTCTTTTTCTGTAACCAGAAATATGCTGATTTTTTGGGAAGAAAAGGAGACATTACTGAGTAGGGGATGATCAAGGAGATTAATGAGAAGATCAACGATAGAAGCCATTGAACAGGTCATTATAGAAAGGGATATGGACATAGGGTGTGCTGAGGGAGAAGATAGAAAACTTTGCGTTAGATACAGTTGTCTAATGAACTTAACTTGTTTTCTTTACACATATTACCACTAAAAACAGTGCCAGAAGAGGAGAAAAAGGAACACTCCTATTTTTCCCACCAGGTTTTCTGACATTGACTGCTCATTCAGATCAATTAAAAAAGACAGAAAGTAGACAGGATAAGTGATTAGGCCATAGCTTTCAAGGATTGTAAAGAGCACAGTGGTAATCTACTGATACAATCTGGATTGCTATTAGAGAGCTGGATTTGTTGCTTATGTTAGGTAACATGACAGAAAAAACAGCACTGCCAAGACTGACACACTGGGAAGGTGGGGAAAAGAAAATATATTGTATTCCATTTGTTCCCAGAGTATTACTCACATCTTTAACCTTGCTTCTGAAAAGGGGTCAAAGCATATTACTTCTCAACTGCTTCTTGCAACAGAAGGCTCAGACAAACTTAAGACATTTTGCCAATGCAATCTTACTCATACTTTACGTACTGCTCCCAATTGCTCTTAGTTTTTACTATTTCTCATTCATGAAAAAAATGGTTTATCGCCTTGACTATGGAGGCAGATCTATCACCAACTAACCCTGCCAGATGACCATCAATTGATGCCAAATATATCGTCCACTTGCCTTTTCAACTTGCTTATCATATATTCCCTGAAAAACTCCTCCCTGAGAAAGGGGTGCCGTTCACATTAAAAAGCTGTTTTGCTGATCTCTCCCCACAAAGGCTATGTCAGTGAAACACAAGATAGTAAGAGCTTTCCTCATCTAGATCATTTATTTGTGGGGGAGTTATTGCTCTCAGGGACTATCACAGGCTCAAACAAAAACTTAGGTCTGAAGGGACCTCTGAAGGTCACCTAGTTCAACCTCCTGCTCACAGCAGGGATAACTTCAAAGCTGGACTATATGTTGCTTTGGACCTTGCCAAGTTTTAAATACCTACAAGGATAGGAGATTCCATAAACCCTCCAAGCAATATGTTCCAAAACAACCACTCTCACGGTCAACAGTTTTCTTCATATGCAACTGGAATTTCCTTAGCTGCAACTTGTGACAATCAACTCTTGCCCTTTCACTGTGCACCTCTGAAAAGCATCCGCGTTCATTTTCTCTATAATCCCCTTAAGGTGATAGAAGACATCAGGTAGATCCCTCAGCCTTCTCCACCTAAATAAATTCAGTTCCTCAGCCTCTCCTTGAACATGTTCTCCGTCCCCCTAACCACCTTAGTGCCCCTCCACTGGACTCCCTCCAGCTTGCCAGCGTCTTTCTTGTACTGGGCTGCCCTAAACTGGGCACAGGATTTCAAATGTGGTCTTGCCACTACAGGGGTATTATTATCACTTCCTTCAGCCTGCTGGCTATGTTCTTGCAAATAGCACCACTATGAGGCTAGCCTTCATTGCTCCTAAGATGCACTACTGACTGACGTTCAGCTTGCTGTCCACAGGGACACCCTGGTTCTTTTCCACAGAGTTACTACACATCCACTCAGCTTGTACTGATGCACAGGGTTGTTTCTTCCAGATGCAG